TTAGTCACAATCATCCGAAACATCATTCCTTGTGCAGAAGACTCAGCCTCCTTTATATACAGTATATATATAAAATAGGGCTACATAAAGCAGTTGCTTTAGTATGGTAAATGGCATGCCTCACTTTTAGCATGTTGTTCTCTTACTGCTAAAGTGTTAATCTCTTGTCAATTGCTTTTTGCTTATATAGTAACTTAATTCAATGTAAAATAATTTCTAGTCTTAATACTATGTAAATTGCTCTTAATTTGCCTGAAGTTATTAGCTAGAGTGAATGGATTTAAATCATTGTTATGTTTTTTTCTGTGAACACGTCAGTCATACCAAAGTTACTGAAATGCTGCTGTTCTAATTGGCATGTGTATCAGGAGTTTTGCCTGCCCTTACTCCTTCCCTTTAAAACAAAAACCTTTATTTTCTTTGCTATTTGAATTCTTGGGAGAAAATCATGAACTTTAAAATTTAAAATGTACCACTGAGCTTACAAACACTGTGTTTTTTCTTCTCTATACAGATACAGAGAGAAGGAGAGAAAAATGTGCATTTGGGAAGTAGGCTCAATTCCAAAAGTGATTTCTGTTTCATCACTTTGATCAGGCAATCTAGATCTCATTGCTCTTGTTTTCTCTTCTTTTAAAACCTGAGTATTTTTTTAAATGAGATACAGTAAGCCCCAGCAATGAGGTAATAGGCCAGTATAAGTAATTTATATTTATTTATATACTTCCAGTATCAGTAATTTATACATGCCTGTTCACTGGCATGGCTGAAGATATACTTTTCTTTCTTAAATAGGAGAAGCACTGGCATTTTAGCCACTAAATTGCGCAGCAGGTGAGGTTTGGTCTAAAATCAGTAAGCAAAAATTCATTCCAATCTCATGTTTAATCTATAAAAGACAATGTTAGACTAAATATTTGATTTTTTTAATTGATAAGCATAAAGGAAATGCCTGATGAACAAAGCCGTTTTCTCCATTAGTGTGAGATTACTATCAAAATATGCCGTAAATACAAAGTAAACTAATTTTATCAACCTTTCTGAGGTTAAATTTAAAATATTTCTTTTGTAGCCTGTTTTGAGTATATTGTGATTACATCTCACCCCCTTTTTTATAAGGAATAGTGTTTGTTTTTTTGTTTTTTATCCTAACATCTTTCAAATATAGGCTGCTTCTCATTGAGCAGTTTCTTTCATTTGTTTCTACTTTTTCTGTGTGTGTTTAAAAACACAAAGATAAGTATTTATTTCGGGTGTGAGGTTTATCTGGACCACTGGTGCCAAAGCACTGTGGTGTCTGATGCCAAATGTGATTTTTAAAACCAAGAGACTCCTTGGTGGTGATGATAATGAATAAGCTTGTGCCAAAAGTTTGCTGCTGCTGGCCTACGTGCTTATATTCAGGTCTTCTGATCCTGCATTGAAAGTTTGTCCTTACTGCCCCACAATTTTCTCCCTGCGCTTTCCTTGTATCCTGTCTACAGTTACTGATCTCTCTGTTTAGGAGTGAGCACCTTTGCATAGATGCAGTTAAAATATTTTTATTATTCTAAACAGAAATTCTGCCTGAAGTTTTCAAAGGAGAGTAAGTGTTGATTTTCATCACAATAATTAATCAGGTTCTAACATAAATTGTTGGGGTTTAGGGTGCAAATACAGACACGAAGGTGCAGATTAACCCTAAGGGCATCAATCCCTATGGACTTTCAGTAGTAGGTCCTACCTTTAAATCCTGGTTCTTTAAGTTGTTTAGTACTGCTTACAGTCAAAGTAGTTTTGGGGGTTTTTTTCTTGAAGATTTAAAGCAGCAAACATTTTAACTGGTCTTTAAAAACTAGGAAGATGCAATTCAGAGGGCTTGACTTGAGCATGTTCTGATGGGAGGCAGTCATAGAAACACATGTACATAACTAGCAGTGTCTATCCGTGGGCTGTCTTTGTCTTGCCTGAAATTACTGAAAATGTGTCAGCTCTGAGTGCATGCTAATGTACCTTAAAATTCCTTGCCTTGAGAAGGGAAGGAATCTCAAAGTCGTTTACAGACACTGTGGGAAGTTGTTTTCGGAGTTAACCTGCCATTCTGCTCTGGCATTCAGTCAGCACAGGCAGAACTGCTAACATGAAGGCACATCATAGTGAAAAGCAGGTAAAAGTTGTCTGCTTCCTAGGCTAGGCAGGAAAAGGATGTGCCAGAATAGTCGCCACTCTCCTTTCCCCAATGTTACAAACTGTTAACAAATACAGGAAATGTACTTTGCTAAAAGCAGTGCAGTGTGAAGATCTACCATATTGTTCATGGTATATTTTGCTTCATTCCTTGTCTTTCAAAGCATTTAACTTTTGGGTGATATAGATTGTGGTTTGAAGTTTTTTGTTTGTTTTTTTTTTTTTTTTTTAGTATACTTCATGTAGAAGGTGCTTGAGAAATCTGCATTGTGTTCATGTTCACTTGTGCAGTGGATCAGTGTTAAATGCTTTATGAAGCAAAAACAAATTCTGTATTTTTAATTTTTTTTTCTTATATGATGTTACTGCTTTTGCCATGATACAGTAGAACTTCAGTCACATGCTTCAGTTGCTGGCAGATGCTTATAAGAATGTAATAAGTAACTAATAACAACCTGTCATTGAAGTTTTTAAGGAGTTCTTTTAAAAGAAGCTGCATACTTTTTTGTATTTTTTTTTTGTTCTTGTAACACATCAAAATACATAAAATTCATATGGAAAGAAATGCTAATTCCTAAAATTTCATAAAGATTTAAATTATTGTGATTTGAAGTTCTACTACGTAGTATATGTTTCATCAGTACTGGGAAATTAGTGTTTCAAGCTGACAAGTGCTTGCTCTTTTTTGACAGTTTTGCAGGGAACATTTCAGTTTTTTGGCAACTCTGTTTTTTTAAATCTTATTATGAGGACACATCTATGACTTTACAGTACAGTCCTTGAGAGAAAGCTCCATTCATGGGAAATACGCACTTAGAGCAGAGGACTTAAAGCTGGGATTCCAGTGGCCTGGTTTTGACTCTCTAAGATATTTGGCATGTGGTATTACTGAACAGTATATTTTTTGGCCTTCCAAAGGTGCTGAAGGTATCCAACTTCCATTGAGTTCAGAGATTTTTTTCTTAAAATTTGGCCTAAATTTGCTTACTTCATTAGTATATGAAGTTGGTGTAATTAGCTATTAAGAGCCCTGCCTGTGTGAAATATATAAATAAATACAATCTTTCATGCAGTTGTTTCCATGTTAGATGTATACACAAGATGAATTTTCTTTAATATGTACTAACTGGTTAATGGTCAAGCTCTGCCGTAACATGGTCTTTTTACAAACAATCATTATTTCTTGTGTGACTGGTGATTATTTCTGTTTAACCAACTGGTGACTTGCATTGAAATAACTTTCAACCTGTTCATACAGGTTTTGTTATTTGGAAATGCTAGTTCTTTTTAAATGATCTTTTATATAGAAGTATTTTAGAAGGTGAACGTGTACTAGTGAAAGATGTCTGTCTGAGCTGAAGACTAGAGTTTCTGAAATATACTGATAATCCTTTATCATATAAAACAGAACAGAGATGACCTTTGCCATGTAATCTGAAAAGTAAAAATAAATGATCTCTAGGTAAAGTGATAAAAGTTCTGCAGTTCTATAGCAAGATCTCTTGTATCAAACACTCTGGTTTCAGGTATTCAACTAAATTTAAAGAAAGTATCTGTGTAAAAACACTGGCTTCTCTTGAAATTGTACAAAGTTGCCACTCAGAAGATCAGTATTTTAAATATATTTGTAAATAAAGACATCAGGGTAAGGAAGGCAATTCCAACATCAGCTTTGTAGTGCAGTGCAATAGTGCTTTTCCTTATGAAAAGCTTATACAGTATGTAATATTTCTTTTCTCTTTTGAGCTCATGTTAGGTAAGTGTTATACAACTTGCACCTAAAATCACACCTTAAGGTAATACGACTGTATGACATAACAGTAATAATTTAACACAAAACATGTTTTTGATCAAGTAATTTTTTTTTGCAACTGAACTTCAAACAGTGAAATGACTGTCCCATGTTGTGTGTTGAGGTTGCAGAATTCAGTTCAGCTCAGCAAAAAGCCAAACCAATCCTTCACCATTTCAAAGACAAACTGTATTAATATAAAATAAAATATTCTCAACTGGTTTTAAGTGCAGTAGAAAAACAGATGACTGAGTTAACTGATATAGAGATGAGAAAAAGGTAAAGCTGTAAGACCATTCAAAATAATCTATTGTTTGAGAATAAAGTTCAGATTTGCTGAAATTGCCAGCACGAGGGATGCCTCCTCTCTGAGGGTCCTGAATGTCTTTGCAAAAGCTGTTCAGGCAGCTGAAGTGGAAGAAGTATAGATAAAGAAACTTCAATTGCACAAGCCACACCAAAAGCCAGCTGGAGTCAAGAACAGAACACTGATCCCCCAGTCCTCTTCTGGCCACACAGAGGGCCTTGCTGTGTTTGTGCTCTTTTCCTCTATGAAAAGGAGTTTAAAATTTTACATTACTTTCACTGAGGATTACAAGATTTACTCCTTATTTATTTCCCTATTTTAAGGTGTCAAGAGACAGCTAAAATGGAATGGTTTGGAATTTTTTTTTCCCAAAACTTATACTTTGAAGCCTAACATAATTGAAAATTAAAACCATTGTAGTAGGAAAACCAACTTCAGTGTTGTTTTTTCCCTTTTTGGGGTGGTCACTTCTTACACTTTTCCTTGAACTACCTGCTGATCATGAAAATGTGTCTTTTTTTCAATAAATCATCAAGGAATGTTTTAGTAATCAGTGGTGGGTTTCCCATATGAAAAAATATATATGCTATATATCTCTATTTCTCACAGAAAGGTGATGATGATATTCAGGGGAAAAAATACAAAGTTGTTAAAATCCATGTTATCATCAAGTCATATATTAAGGTGTTACTATATCCAAGTTGGAACACTGTCAAATTCTATGTTTATATGCAGGAACTTGACGAGAGGAGTTGGTAGATTTAGAGAGTTACTAAGAGCTGTTGAAACAAGAACTACACAAAATCTGCGAATGGTAAGTAAACCACATTCCTATTTCTGCATCTGAATTCTAGTAGGTAGGTAAAGCATAAAGCTAGTGGATGAGTTAGAGACAGATAATCAGATACACAACATATTGATCAGAATCTGTTATCCAGCACTTCATAAGGTTACATTTCCTGGCTTAAGTGAATGATTAAAATAAAGTGAATGCTTGACATCCAGTCTCTCCCCTATTTCTCTTTCCTATTTGTGGTGATGGTTAAAACCGAATTGGTCTCTGACTGACCGTACTTTCAAGCTTAATCATAATTGCTTTATTTATGACTTATCACAGTTTCACAAGGGTGTTGTTTCATGTTTTTGTAAGGTAATGGTAGTAAGGAGAGACTGCAGCGTCTGTATGTGTGTTTTATTTATTGTTTTATTTTTGTGATAAAGCCTTTTAAAGGAAAACAATAAATGTAAAATAATGAAGATTGGTTATTTATATTGTCAGAAAACAAACCTTTACCAAAAGTATCATGCATCTTTTTTGCATCTTTTATATAATAAAAGGCCAAGGCTTCTATCTTTTGCTCTAATGTAATGGTTTTCAAAATGTCCTAGACTAGTTTCCTAATCTAGATCTTTAAAACTTCCAAAGTGGTAATAAGGAAGGTAATTGGTTTCTTATTTCATTTAATAACTGATTCCTAGTAAGGATATTAAAATTATTAAATAATAGACTTTCAATGGAGAGGGATAATATTGCAAACTTTAATAGAATAAAAAATGAAGGGCTTCTTATGCTATAGGAGTTGAGGTAGAAGATGCAGATCATATGGTGCTGTCTGTGGCTTAAACATTACACATCTGTTGATGGGAAATGTTGCTGGGAAATACTGCCAATTCTGATGCATTTGTGGATCTTGTTTTCTTTCTACTGTCCTGGTACTAACCTCTGAGTTTTCTTCATCACGATATATAGTTGTGCAGCTTGTTTGCATATGTATTCAACATTAAAGAGGAGATTAACCTGATAGTTATGGATTATAGGATGACTTCAAAGCTTTAAATTAATTCTATTTACTTAAATAATATTTGTGTAAGTATTTCTACACTTAAACATATTGTGCCAAGAATAGTTGGTCAAAATAAACTTTTTCATGCTGATCTACGACCTTGTTTCACTCTTGCTGAGTCTTACCAACAGTAGCAAACACCAGCAACTTCAAGTACGAGTTGTCAGAAGTCCTGGTCCGTTGGGGCTTGGACTACAGCTGTCTGGTGGATTGACCTTGGCTGGCTGATAGATGCCCACCCAGCTGCTCTTTCACTCTGCTTCCTTAACACAGCGGGCTGAAAATAAGATAGAAAAGCTTGTGGGTCAAGGTAAAGACAGGGAGTTTCCTTACCAGTTAATCTCATAGGCAAAACAGACTTGAATTGGGGGAAATTAACTTAATTTATTATCAATTAAAAGAGTGGGATGGTAACAAAGACAAAAACTAAAACACCTTCACCCTACCCTCTTTCCCAGGTTCAACTTCAATCCTTCATTCTTGACTCTTCTACCTTGTCTCCCTACCTTCCCACTCCCTGAGTGGTACATGGTGGGTGGAGGGTTGTGGTGAGTCCATAACAGTTCCTCTCTGCTTCTCCTTACTCCTCACATTTTTCTCCTGCTCTAGCATAGGTTTCCTCCCATGAGCTGCTGTTCCTTCAGGGAATATCAGCCTGCTCCGTCATCATCCTCTCAGCAGGCTGCAGGGTAGACATCTGCTCCACTGTGGTCCTTTCCATGAACCATAAGGAAATACCTTCTCCACTGTGGTCTCTCCCTCAGAAACACCTTCTCCAGGCCTGGAGAGGCAGTAGAGGTTATTGAGCACAAAATAACTGACAGTATACCTGGATGTGCTCCGCTCTTGGGAGCAACAGTTGGTGGTGCTGATACTTCAGAAGTATCTGGATCTAACTGATAAAATTGAAAAATTGTTTGTTATTGCTATTTTTTTCTTCGTGTTTAGAGAATTTAGCTGGGTACTTGTACCTTTCAAACAGCAGTATGCCTGGTTTTTTGGATGTTTTAGAATAACAGAAAATTACTCATTAGAAATAATCCAAGCATTTTTGAAGAGTTTGTATTCAGCCTTTATAGGGAAAAATATTTATCTTTGATTTTTACAGACGATAGCAAGACAACTGGCTGAAATTTTGTTACGAGGCATGTGTGAACAGAGTTACTGGAATCCACTGGAAGATCCTCCTCACCAATCACCCCTAGATGATCCACTTCGAAAAGGTTCAAATACTAAGAATTACGCGCTCAGTAGAAGACCGCGGGTATACACTGGAGAAAAGTATGGCTGAGTTTATACCTCTCTTGTTTCTATAATTGCAGATATTACCCAGTGCACTGGGTAATTATTTTATATTTTTGAAAATGCAGAAGGAATTGGGCAATGTGAATGGGAACATTTCCCATGCTGCGTGCGTATATATATTCCATGAAGTTTGCACTATATGCACAAGACCTTTTGTTCTTTTTTTTTTTTTTTTTTTTTTTGTTCTATACTGGGGTATTTGGTAGAGCCAATATCTCTCATTATACCTGGGATACAAAAGAAAACATGAACTGGATGGCAAGTCTGAGATTGCACATTTTAAAAGTTGTGTGTTGTTTCTAGCCTTCTGTTCTGCCTTATCATAGAAAGGAAAGAATTAGAAATCTGGAGACTCAAATTCATCCCTGAAACATTATAAAAACCCAGAACATGTCTAGAAATTTATCTAGCAGTTTCAAAGGTAGTTTATTTCCCAAGGCAGCTACCTTTTAATCTTCTTCGGTTACTTTTGGCATTTCTCTATGATGCCACCCTTCCGTTGAGTTTTATTCTTTCACTGATTCAGATAAGTGGTATGCTGTGGATCATTTTCGTGTAGCATATCCCGTGGTTAATTCTAGAGTACCTTTGGTCTGTGTTCCTTTCTTCCTGAAAACATGTGGTTTTTTTTTTTTTTTTTCAAAACTGATCACCATTAGTTTTAAATGTGGATAGCCGTTTCCTTGAATTTGAACTTTTAAAAGTTAATAGCTTGTTGTTTGTTTCTATCTGATCAAATGAAAAATGGTTTCTAAGGTAAAGTTGTTTTCCTTAGACACACTCCGACAGCAACAAAAATACATATTGACAGAATTTTGCACTTCATTGCAGTCTTTGGGTGTCACTTAAAGTAATGTGCTTGTGTCAAAGCATACTGGTGAAATCTTAACCATTTGCCACTGTCTTTTTAAATTTATTTTTTATGTCATTGATACTGAGTTTGATCTGGTGAAACTTTGTTGCATGCTTGCATTACATAATGCGCAACCTTTGCACTGCTCTACTTGTATTCTACATGCAAGTCCTTGTGGGGTCTTGTATTTTGAATATATATATTTATTATAGTCAACAATTATTGCTTGCTTGTTTAGATACATGCTGGAAAGTGCTGTGAGCCAGAGAACTGAGAAATAGATTGTAGCAATGGAAATAATGATCTGGCCAAGATTGAGATTTGCCGTAGTAGGGCAGTGCTAAGTAATGCAGATGGAGAAGGTTGAAATTCCATTTAAACATAAGAAAAAAATTTACAGAGGAGGTTGTGGAGTCTGGATAATATCACTGGAAATATTAAAAATCCAACTGAACGTGGTCATGGGAAACCTGCCAGTTTACCCTGCTTTGAGTGGAGGGGCTGTACTAGCTGATTCCCAGATACTCCCTCTAACATCAACTATTCTGTGATTCTGTAAAACTGCTATGATCTGGGAATCTCTTCTGAAGAGACTGTTGTTTGTTCCCTATGAAATTCTTGACCCTTTTTCTCCAAAGAATTTATTAGTATTTTTTTATACTGTTGTCCAGCTGGATTAAAACCCAGGTGGTGTGAGTTTAATTTCAGTCTTGTCTGACTACGTGTAGGATGTGAAGTCATTAAAAAACAGTCTTCTGAGCTTTAGGAAAGATGCAGGCATAAAGCTGAACATTCAATTATGTTCTTCATTCTCAATTCATCCTTTTGTAGAAACATGCCTCCTGACAAAAGTAGGGCTTTGTTCAGTGTAATTTCTTGTTCTTGGGATATGCAAGCAAGGAGTTCCACAATTTCAACAGAGCACGTAATTAAGTCACATCAGAGTGATTAATACTAGATCAGATAAAACACGTCTAGCCATGTATCTCCTCTCCAGCAGTGTTTGAAAGTAAGTATCTAAGACAATGAAGAGCAAGAAGGTATATAGGAAACTTCTTCCTGGGTATTCATCTGAGAACCAACCCTGAGTCTGAATTGTAGTGGGTTTTTTCTAAATATGTTGCCTGATATATTAGGTAACTGCATTGTGTTCTTTGGAGGATGGTGAATGTGATTTGACTAATACCGTTTATGATTTTGTAGATCTCTCTGTTACTGCCTCTTCAGTTTTGTCCTCAGTTGAGGAACTGTTAAACCTCTTGGTTTGCCTTTGGTTGGTAGCCATTTCATGCTTCCAGTTGCATCTTTCGCTCTGCCTTTTTACCTCAGAATTACTTTACTCATATGCCTGCATCTGTCAGGAGACACACAAAAAGTCCGAGTTCAGTCAACTAAATTGAGCTTTCTGCATATACAGGTCAAAGAAATTTCCCAGTAATTTCTGCATGGAGAGGATCTTTGCTGTTTGAGACAAACATCAACTTATTTACCAAAATATATTCAAAGCTGTAGGAGAAAGTAACATTTGCTTTCGTTTTGATAAATGACTTTTTCGTAGTTCTCTTTGGGGCAGTTTCCCTTTTTTCTCTGAGAAAGTAGTTTCTCCAGCAACTATTCCCAATCGTTATTCTTCTTTCTGGAAACCACTGCCAGTTGGTCAGGTTAAATCTACTTCCAGGTTGTTAAACTTTGCACTGAAGATGGGACACGTAAATGTGGACCTCTCTGATGCTTCCTCTTCATTCCTAATTCCCTGTCCTGCATGGTTTTTATTCATGAGTAACTGTGTTTTGAAATGTCTTTGTTATGTAAAAATAAATACGTCTTCTGAGATTTGGAAGACTATTCAAAATATGATAAGCAACTTACATTGATTAAAAAAATCAACAACAAAACAACTGCCCTGGGGTCTTTACCTGCTGTATATTACCACAATATGTTTGCAATGTTGCTTTCAAACTGCCTGGAGTTCAGATGTGTTTTAGTTTCCGTTTCCTTTTGAGCGTTTAATTACTGCTTAAATTTGTAGTGCATTTAGAAAAATCTAGAAGATATTTTAACCTCAGACAAGTTTTGATTCCCATCTGTAATTAATTGTAGTTTAAGTACCCTTGGGAATTGTTTATTAAGTACAAGAAATTATTTTCTACATTTAAACAGTTAATTGTGCAATTATTGGTCTGAATTAACAGGAAATAGTACTTGTGCTAATTCAGAAACAATTTAGAGAAAGAAATCTGAAAAGTTAAAACACAGTCACTGGGGTTTGTTTTTTGTGTGTGTGTGAGAGAGAATGAATGAATGAATTCCTACCAGTCATGTACACAATGCAGATTACTGTTCTCTGTCCACCAACACAGAAAAGTATTCAGAAGGCATCCAGCATTCAGAGAAAGCAGTAAAGTTTGCAAACTAGTCCTTATGAGAATCTTCAGCATTAATTCATAAGGGAGTGTACTTCATTAAGAACAAGTATTTTGACTCCTTGGAAGTAACAGTGGTTATGCGAGCAGGCAGAGATTGCCATGGCTCTATTTAGAAATACTCCCAGCTATTGAATTCAATTGAATTCAAAATCGAATTTGCAATTCAATCGATTCAATTGAATTCAAAAATTGAATTCATCAGGAAAACAATTCTCAAGCATATCTGATGAAAGACTAAAGAAGTATTTATCCACATATTGGCTAAAATACAAAAGTTATCTTGTTCTTGTGAGAGTATCTTGTTGCTGACATTTGGATCAGGGATGTAGATACAGTCAGATAGATTAGGTGCCAGAGGCTAGAAACTATGGGTACAGTTTTTACAGTTGTCAAATTATGTGCAATTTTGGGGTATTTGAATGTGTTCAACTCTGACAGCTTGGTGGTTTTGTTCTTTTATTGTGTTTGGCCAGTCTTTCTGAATTGCAAATTTAGAGCATTGCAAAGAAATGCATTTTAGCCGGTCGTTTATTCTATGCAAGTTACTCTGTTCTCTTTTCTGGAAAATTTCCAGTTTTTACAGTACTCTTGCTATATTTGTGTGAGCTACTCTTAAAAGTAATGTATTCAGCTTAAATAATTAAATTCTTGTTTTGAACAGCATCTTTTGTCCTCAAGAAAATACAGAAGAAGCCTTACTGTTGCTGCTTATTAGTGAATCTATGGTAGGTAAAATAGAGCAAATGTGCGTGTGCTGTAGGTGTGTGTGTTTTCCTTGTTTCGTTTTGTTTTTTTTTTTAATGAAAATGGAACTTTTTTTGTCATGCCTTACTTTATGACTTCTGTTTCATTTTCTGTTAGGAAAGCAGGCAGTTTCAGAAGTAACTCAAGCGTCTATTCCTCTGAGCCAGCGAGATGAGGTCTGCAAGTGTTATGAACAGGAGTTTTTCTCCTTTAGAGTGGCTGAACCTAGCTTCCTAACCATAGTCAGCTGAACACAAAGCTAGGTCTTTCATTTGGCATTACGTATCAATATGAACCACTGTTAGACCAGCTGTTTGCCATTCAGACAGACTCAAAATGTAAGTTATTTTTGTTGTAAAAATCAAATCAAAGACTACTAGATGGGCATAATAAACATAGCCAAAAAATGTTTTCCATGGTGTATTAAACCACAGATGTCACTCAAATTTGTAAATTATTTTTAATGATACTGGCATTCAGCCTTTGCTACTGGATTTTATTTTTTTTAATGTCTTCATTTCCTCAAAAGGTGATTCCTTTTACTGGCCTACTTGTGCCTTTTATCAGCCTTTCATATTTTTCTCTAGTATGATTTTACTAGTCATCTATCAACTGCCACGGACTGACGTTCTCATACCAGGTCCGTTACATGTTCTCAGATGGCAGAAATGAAAAGCTGAAGCTGAAATTTTTACTGTTTTTCTAAATGGAGGGGTGGAACCTCTAGGATCTGAGGCATCATATAGTAGTCTGTGTCACTGCACATCAATGAAACTTAGTCTTTTAAGTTCAATAGGTGATTCAAATGCTTTCATGCTCTGGCATAATTTCTGTTTTGATACAGTTAAGTAGGATCAGAACATCGGAACATGCTACAGTACGTGTACATAACAGAATCACAGAATGTATGCGGTTGGAAGGCACCCCTGAAGGTCTTTTTGTCCAACTCCCCTGCTCAAACAGGGCTGTCTGGAGCAGGCTGTGTCTGTGTCCAGATGCCTTTTGAATATTTTCAAGGAGGGAGAATCCACAACCTTCCTGGGTAACCTGTGCTGGTGCTCAGTCACCCTTACAGTGAAAAAGTGTTTCCTGATGTTCAGAGGGAACCTCCTGTGTCTCAGTGTGTGCCCGCTGCCTCTGGTCCTGGCATTGGGCACCACAGAAAAGAACCTGGCTCCCCCTTCTTTGTACCCTCCCTTCAGGTAGTTATATACATTGGTAAGGCTTTCCCCCTGAGCTTTTTCTTCTCCAAGCTGAAGAGTCCCAGCTCTCTTTGTTTTCCCTCATAGAAAAGATACTTCAGTCCCTTATTCATCCTAGTGGTCATTTGTTGGACTGTCTCTAGTAGCTCCGTATCTCTCTTGTTCTGGGGAGCCCAGAGTTGGCCCCAGTACTGCACGTGTGGCCCCACCAGTGCTGAAGAGAGGGGAAGGATTGCCTCCCTTGACCAGCTGGCAACACTCCTGCTCATGCAGCACGGGACGCCGCTGGCCTTCTTTCCAGCAAGGGCACACTGCTGGCTCCTGTTCAGCTTGGTGTCCACCAGGACACCCAGGTCATTTTCTGCCAAGCTGCTTTCCCAGCTGGTGGCCCCCAGCATGTACTGGTGCCTGGGGTTGTTCCTTCCCAGGTGCAGGACTTTGCACTTCCAAGTCTTTGTTGAAGCCTTTGAGGTTCCTCTCAGCTCATTCCTCCAGCCTGTTGGGGACCCTCTGGATGGCAGCACAACCCTTTGGCATATCAGTTCCTCCTAGTTCCGTACCATCAGCACTTGCTGAGGGTAGACTCGGCCCCGTCATCCAGATCATCGATGAGGAGTTTGAACAGGATCAGGCCTACTATCGGTCGCTGGGGTTCACCGCTAGTTACTGGCCTCCAGCTGGACTTTGTTTCACTGACCACCACCTCCTGGGCTCAGCCTCCTGGGTTACCCTTAGCTGATGGTAAAATGGCTGACCGTATCCTTTCTTCCACTGTGGGTGAAGTAAGTTACACCGCTCGCATTTGCCTCAGGCTTGAAGTGTGCCCAGCTGACACATTGCAGTTTAACTGATTGTCACTTTATTGTGTCTGAGACTGTGGCAGTTCTGAAACGCTGAGCACAGAAGTTTGCACATACATTCTGTTTTATAATTATGCAGAAAATGATTGTTCGAATATATAAGATATCTTCAATACTTACAAGGCATCTTCTCCTATAATACAGCTTTGGCATTGTCAGCCACTTTTTCACAAGAAGTGCTAGTTCATAGCTTGTTCTGTACTTGCAAGGAATTGAGTCAAATAGTGATTAAATGTGGAGTTAAAAAGGAAGAAATTCTTGAAGCTGACTAAATATTTATGCAGTGTAGAAAGGAAAAGACAAAGACGTCTTGATCAAAAGAAAGCAAAATGTCTGTTTTGGGGTGTGTATGAGGGGGTGTGTGTTTTCAAACCAAGCTGTGAATTATTCAGTTGATAATTCCTGAAATGTCTGTGCATTTTACGCTCCGTGTATCTCTTTGAAAATTTTTTTCAGTATTTAATTATTCTGATTTTAAAGACATATTGAGTATGTTCAGAGCTTAAAATGTTATCCTGTTAAAGCAGAGAAGCAATTTAATATCTCTTAACGTGTGTCATTCATCATCTCTGAAAAAGATGGAAATAAACTGCCCATTAAAATTTAGTGTATTTAAGTAAATGTATTAAATCAGGCCGTGTTCTGTGTAATTAAAAAAAAAAAAGTGGGAGGAGGAGAGAGAAGGATCTTTAACTTATGATTTCAAACTACCAGCTATACTAGCATTTATACCAATGGGAATATTAAACATCAAGAAATCTAGGAATAGATAAGATAGCCAGATAAGGTATTTTCAGAGGCTTGACAGTGGGAGAAGTATTTGGTAGTTCAATATAGGCAGCCTTAGCTACTGGGAGACCCAAATTTTATCATTTGCTCTTTAACAAGATTTCTCTGTGAACATGGTCAATCATGTAATCTAGTTCAAGCTCAGACTTCTTCCTTTTCAAAATGAAAAGTTTAGTGAAGGAATTAGGTTTGCAACATGCCTTTCACAAAACAGGATTGAAAGTACAAAGGCCTAATGCAGACATGGCCTGATTCCAAACCTCTGCTCAGAACCTGGGACAGTTTTCACATCTCATTAGTAACTCCTGAGGATGGTGTCATAATGTTATGAAGAGAAAATAAATTGATTGCCTTATTTTACAAAAGCTGTAATAGAGGATTTGAAGATCCTTCTAATACGTTTTATTAGCATACAAAAAATAAAATAAAATTTTAAAAGCTGAATATATATTAGAAAAAAACAAACCTTACTTGGTTTCTGATAACTCTTGAATTATTTCAAATACATTACCTAATTTATGTAATTAGAATCAAGTAATTAAAAATAGATCCATATAGAAACATAAATCTTGTCAGTGATAAAATTGGTGATTCTTGCTATCTATAAATTAGTAGCAGATACTATCTGTCTGCATTACCTGTATCAAATGCTGTCAGTCTGAATAGAATGTTAATTACTTGAGCAAAAGTGCAGGTTGGATTAGAATGTCTGACTGGGTTTTTTTTTGTGGTCTGTTTCAGGCTAACCGTGATGCTGTACTGAGCAGAATACCAGAACACAAAAATGATCGAATCATCAGTTTGCAAAGTGCATCTGTAGTCTATGATTTACTTACTATAGCCTTGGGAAGAAGAGGCCAATATGAAATGCTCTCAGAGGTTTGTCAACAATAGTGAATATTCAACTGTGTCTTCATTGCTTGCTTCTGTTAATCATATTAATTGTGGTAGTACTTAAGGGCTAAACGTTGGACACTGTCACTCTGACTACTGTATAAATACAGTAGGTAGTTTCCACCCCAAAAATTTTACTGTCTAAATTTATACAAGTGACTTGAGGTGGTCAAGCACAGGAATTGTGTGAAAGGTGTGGTAAATGTTTAATGGTACAGAAATTCACATGGTTTTTAGGTAGGGAGGTATGGATCTGCCTAAAAGGATGCACATTAAATGGAGACAGCAGGAAGGAAGAGCAAAAGATAAAAGCTGCTGTGGATATAAGCGGTAGATATAAATACCTAGAAAAAGGATTTGTGATGTTTTACTTCAAAAGAAAACTTCCTTTTTACACCTCATAATATTTGGAATGTTCCAAAGTCCTCATAGTTTGTAAAGTGACTTTGAAGTTAATAAAAATGGAAATACATTACTTTTTCAGGTCTGTAGGAAAATATGTTCTCTATCTCAAATGTCTCGTGTTTGATTATGCAGTTTGCATGTGTTTTGTTAGACTGTAGAAACTTCTTTGGGAAATTTTCAAGTATTGTTGACAGTTTTGTACCTGAGAAACTACTAAAGCTGTTGGGGCAGAACAGATCTTTCAGTTGCCCAAAACAGTACTCACTCAGCAGAAGGATACTGTTGCTGACCATGATTAATTATTGGTATCCAGAAGGAATACTTCAGCATGTGTGGTAGGAAGGCATATCCAGGGATTGATTTGCTGAGAAATGGCTCCTCTCTACCATAATAGAGGACTTTTATTAAGATTTTTTTTTTTAAAGAAAGGCCCCAGTTCTCTTCTGTTATATGTTGATAGTCACCCTTTAATCTGCATCTCGTGCAATGTTAAGATCTGAATTTGGGTGTTCTTTAAGGTACTTTATAGCTGCAAGATGTGCATACAAGTCAGTTCTAATCAGTACAATAGAAAGTCTTTCACAAAACCGAGGAGTGTGAAAGCTCATGCAGGACTGTAATTCTACAACATAATCTAATTAGGAATATTTCCATTTACTTGCCACTGCAGAACAATCATCTTCATGGAGTTTTAGGTGGTTACACCAAAGCTGCAATAGATGACTCTCCATATGTTTTAGTCTATAACTTTGTAAACAATAGACTTGAACAGGCATTGTAAAAAAAATATAAAAAAAAAAAAACAAACCCAAACCAACAAACAAAAAAACCCCAAACAAACAAACAAACAAAAAAACACAAACCCCAAACAACTTGAAAAGGTAACTCTGATTTCTTTTTTTCTTTAAGCAACTGGCAACCTTTCCTTTTTATATACTAGCCTAGCAATGAAACAGGGGTGGTGTAGCCCTGGATTCCAATTTTGATTCTTTGTGGAGTCATGGTGGTTTTTTTTTTTTGTTGTGGGTCTTTTGTCTTTTTTTAAGTGTTAAAAACACCGTTATATTAATGGGAACATCACAATTTCCTGGGATTCCTCCACTGTCTCCTCTGGGACACTTTGGGTAGTATTTATGTCACAATAGATACAACTTCTTGTTTGCAATTCTTCTTGTCTGTCTTAATAGAGAAGTTTTTTGGTTTCACAGGAAAGCTAGAGGTATCTCTGTTTTTAGCTATGTATCTTGAAGTCTAGGACATTACTCTGAAGGGTAGGAGAAAAGTCTTATAGTCCCCTCACATGGAGGAGAGCATAGAGCGTGCTTCCTTCACTGCTTGTGTGATTGGTTTAGCCCCTGTAGCTGACAGATGAGTACCACTGCCTGTTCCTTTTCCTTCTGTGTCTTGAGCACAGTTGAATGTTCTAACTAATGGAAGAGGTTTTAACTCACCTTAGATCTTTGATTTCAGTGCCTTTTAGAAGTTGCTTGCGCTGGTGGTGATCTTGGTTACAGACAAAAGCAGAACCACCAATATCTGGAAAGTTAAAGAGCTTCTATGTTTGACCAACTTCTTAGTTATGGGTTTTTAGCCACTACCTTGGGCTTTGACACCTGAAGTAGGGGTAAGGCTTAATTTAAGGTCTTTTCTTGTTCTTTTTTTTAATCTAGGCCTAGCATCTTTGCTGTTGTATTCCATCAAAATTGTATGTATATTCTTTTGAAATGTTTTCTTTGAAAAAAATAGAAAAACATTCTTACACATTGGAAAAATAGTGTTCTATACAGGAGAATTAAAATATATTTATTATATGTCCATGAAGTATCTATTGTGAACATGAAAAAAATCGTCTTATGAAGACCTGGTATAATAAGTAATACTTACTTTAGCATACAGATACTTTAGACACACAGCTGCAGAAGGAGCTTATCAGGAAATGATTAGAACATCCCATTTGTTCCAGTTCTTGTCATCTGAAGGCACAGTGGAAAACATGGACTTTAAGAAGCTTTTACAGTTTAGTGAGTGGTTAGAGGATCTGTCCTCAAATCCTGTGGCCTGTAGTCTGAAACTTTTATAATTTGAAGTATTACAGTAAACACAGATTCAGAAATGGAAAGTCATTCTGTTCAGTTATGTAATAGACATATTTTTTTGCTGGCTTCATTCTCTACGAAATAACTATGATTGCTCTAGTGGAGATGTCATAGCTTCAAGTCAGAAAGCACCATTATTCTAACTGTTGAAATAGTATTCATCCACCAATTCCAATATCTTGTTATCATCTTCTGGTTTAGCTATAGCTGATTGTTTACAGAAGTAGTTAGTTGTGATAAAAGAACATTAATGATCAAAAATCAGTCTCATCCTTGTTAAACTGTTCTAATGCTGAGTCATGTTCTTAATTGAAAAGGTCTCATTTCTTTATGGAGTTTGTATACAACAGGCTTTGAATTTCTTACAGCTTCTTAAACTAGATTAAATAACTTTCTACTGTCACAACTCTTTCCTAAACAAAAGTACTCTGACTGTCATCAAGTTGTGTTTTAAGCTTTGTATCAGATACGCTGTATTGAGCTTATCAGTGTCCTACTAGGAGAGAAGTTTTCTAGATCAGAAGTTTTCCTAGATACTCATCTTTCAACACTCTTCTTCAAGCATATTCTTTTCAGGAGGAGACCATAGTGCTAAGCAATAAAATTCAGTAATGTGTTCAACATTAGCTGTTCATATAGAGGCCTGTGATTATTTACAAGGCAGTATCAGCAGTTGAATTTCTGCCTTTCAGTAGAGGGATTGTGCTGAATGTGTTTTCAATTAGTTAAGTCAGTTGCCGTTGTCCTGAATATCAACTTAATGTGCAGTTTTCCAGTGTACTATTGCTTGTTATGTATTTCTCATCAATTTCTTGATGGAACCTGTTGCTCTTTGAATTTACTTGTTGTTACTTGGTTCAGAAGAACACAGGTGTTCCTGTTGTGGCGTAGATCACATATACGTATATGCACATATATCCCTTTCCCCCACACATGCTAACCACCAATTTTGTGATCTTGTGAAAAAAATCATGTAACTTGTCGCATTTCATACTGAATAAAGCCAAGTAAATAGAACTTGAAGATAAGGAAGAAGGATGGTAAATAGATCATTAGTACCTTGAAACTCAAGCCTTTTATCTACAATCTGCAGTTGTGTCCTCCTGTGTCCCTATAATTACAAAATTATAGATACCTAAAATATCAACTTCTCCAACTGCTTTACTTTCTTCCAGTTAAAATTGGCAAGTAATTTTCAATTCAGGAAGGCCTAGAAAATAAGATTTTTATTTTTCTAATTGTGAACAAGAACTGCTATATAATTAATGCACATGCATATGTGTATGAATATGTAAAAATGGGAGAAGAAAGTAAGATTTAATACACTTAATCTTAGTATAGTAATAATTAATTTCCTTTTGGCATTCAGTTATTAAGTTGAAAATCTCAGCAGAATATTGACTGTGAAATTAAACTTAAAAAAAGAAATAATACTGTCAGGTAAACCTTTACCCACACCTCCACCCCCCCAACCCCACACCTTTTAAGTGGTGCTGATAAGTACTTGTGATGCCATTGCTTGTTCAGCGTTCGCAATTTAGGAACAGTGTGTGTACAATTTTCCTTTTCACTTAAGATATATCTCCTGCCCTTTGCAGGTGATGCCTTCAGTAAGCTGATATTTGTCATTGCTTCTTTCAGACTAAATAGGACAGTACCAGCAGGAGTATTTAAATAAACATAATAAATGGGAGATCAGTTGTCTCTTCAATTCTTTTTTTGCTTATAGAATCTGGCATCTGTTTTCACTTAACTTATTTGAATGATATAATTACTTAATTACATGTATTTTAGGCATAAGTCTATAAAAAAATTTTTATGCTAGTGTATCTTCTTAATAATCAAAGAATGTGCCCTTAAATAACATTTTTTCCCTCAAAATTAGTGTTTAGAAAGAGCCATGAAGTTTGCATTTGAAGAGTTCCATCTCTGGTATCAATTTGCATTGTCCTTGATGGCAGCAGGAAAAGTAAGTCTTAATTTTTTGATGTAATTCTTCTATTGATGACTTTTGATAAAAGCATTTGGCACTTCCATAGTTTTTGCCTGTGGTGTTTTTGAAAATAATTCTAATTCTTAAATCATCTAAGTACAGTGTACTCCTGAATTTGTGCCTAGTAGTGTAAAAAGAACCCAGTTATTTCAGTAGTTTTTAAACTTTGGACGACTGAAAGGTGATGGTAAGAAGTATCTTGCCAGCAAGCTTAAGATAAGCTAACTGAATATAGGTCAGATCATACTGTCTAGTAAAAAACTTGCTTAAGTGCTGTTTTGGTGGATGAATTTTACACTTAGGTACAAATTAACGCTGATTCATGATACGCTTGCTTTTTTATTTTACTTTGGAAATTTCTGAATGTGTCTTTGAGATTTTGTATTGTGTGCAGTTAAAGTGAGATGGATTTTTTTTTTTCTTTTTTAATTTTATATAACCTAGGAACTCATGTTATCAGATGCAGTCTTCTATTTTCAGTTCTTTTTGCTTTTCCCTGTCATGTTACAGAAAATAAACCGCATTCATTATGCAATGTAAATAATATTAATTTTCTAAAAGATCATTCTCAATGGGAGTAATTTTGCTTATCTTCAGTATGGGAGGAAGGAATGGTTAGAAAATATATTTAGAAGCACATTGATTCAGAAGAGCCTTGATTCTTCTTCCCATTCTCTGTTTACTTTATCTTTTAAACATTGATCGGATGGAAGTAAATGAATTAAAAAAAGAAGAGGAGCAGCGACAGTCTGTTACACAGTCTTATATCAAAGCTATTCCTAAGCGCCATTGTAACTGCCAAAGAACACTAAAACACTGCTTGGTCTGAAGACTCTGTCCTGTTCCTGCTCTTTCATTTGCCTGGCTCAAATATTATGAGCTTCCAGGCCTAGCAAGGTTCTAAATGCATCTCAGAAATGTTCTCAGATTCCTGTACCATTGGAATTACATTCTGGGCAAATGTTTCACAGGGGACACTTAGTGATAGTTTATAGAGGTTAAATAACAACAGCAGTGCCTAAGGTATTGTGTTTCATTTGCACGACGAGTTGTGACAAATTGCCAACAAAGTGTTTGGTCTCCTTCACATGGGAAAAATAAAGTAAGTGATGGGAATAGGAATCTTCTATCTGTGAAACGTATTTTTGCTTTTTATAATTTCAATGGAAAATGTTTTTAACAGTCTGCTCGAGCTGTTAAAGTCTTGAAGGAATGTATACGCTTGAAACCAGATGATGCAACTATTCCTCTCCTTGCTGCAAAGCTCTGTATGGGATCTCTCCACTGGGTAAGCTTTGCCACTCCTTGCCTTTTCAGCAAGAGCTGTGCTAAAATGCAACAAAATTTGGTTTAGGGATGTAGCAAATACTTTTGCACAGAGCCTACATGCACTTGGTTATCTCTAAAAATACATCACAGATACGTATATGCACATGTACGTTCCTGTTTGGCTAATTTAAAATATTTGACAGCAATTCTTATGTTTATCATTGTGGCATATCTTGATACTGATCTAAGACATAGCTAAAAATGTATTAGAAATTGAAACATTGTTGGCATACAGAGATTAAAAATGTAACTTATACTTCTGTTTCCTCTGTGCAAGAGGAAAATAACTTTTTACAAATCTCTTACATTCAGGAGACTCTTCTGGTGATACCATGTTAGTACATAGCTGGGGTTTATGAATTCCTAGTAGGGGCAGTGTCTTTTTAAAAAGTGTTACTTGAATTGTATTTTAGAAAACCTTGAATTGGTATATCTACAGAAAAACATTAAGATGATCAAAGATCATCATATGGTTTAAAAGACACACATGTAATTTAAAAAAAAAATAGTGTATTTTAAAAAGGGGGAAGGGTCACAATCAGAAATTGAGGAAATAGTGCAGTAGCAGAAACATGACTCGTTGAGGCTGACAAAAATACAGTCTTAACGTAGCTCCTAGTTCTGTAAATTGTTCCCTATGGATTGACTCCATATGGAGTAACTTACTGTACTTAGCATTTACATTTACTGGAATGGATTCAAAGGTTATTTTTTTCTTTCTGGATTGTTAAATAGTGTGCTAGCATGGGTGTGCAGTTAAATCTTGATCTTTTACATGTTGATGAGTTCACATACATTCAGCAATACTGTATGTGGAGTTCTGCATGGCTGTACTTTTTTTGCAGGGTTGGAGCCATAGCTCTTGTAATTGATTTTCCTAAAGAAATGGTTCATGGGGCAAAAACTCTATTTATGAAATGCAAAAAATGCTAGACAATATATATGGACCAGAAATGCCTTTTTTATTTAAAAAAAAAAAGAAAGAAAAAAGGCAAGAACACAGTAAGTTTAGAATGATATGTATGTTACATGCCAGAGTTTCTTTCAACCATAGGAAAGGTTGCTTCAGCTTGAAATCTGGGTTCTTTACTCAGTATTTAGCAAGAAAACTAAGTCTAATGAAAAATTGCATAGTCCTTAAAAGCAATCATGGCTGAGATTTCAACAGACTCGGTGTGCATTTTTCTCATTACAATGTAAGATTTAGCTAGTTTTAGACTTACATGGTCGTTTTATATTTTCAGTTGGAAGAAGCTGAAAGATTTGCCAAAACAGTTGTTGATCTTGGGGACAAAACATCAGAGTTCAAAGCAAAAGGCTACTTGGCACTGGGATTGACTTACAGTCTGCAGGCTACTGATGGTAAGATAAGAATAAACATCGACATTTGGAAATTCCCATGTTGACTGAACAAGGATACCTAGCAGAATGCTAGATTTAAAATTAAAGCTTCTGTGTGCAACCATTTTTTCAGTCAATGTATTAAAACTTCTTCAGTGAGCATGTGGAATGAAATCTCTTGATCTTGCATATCACTGATTAAATATATTCTTTTTAGCATCTTTGCGAGGGATGCAAGAGGTCTTGCAGAGAAAGGCTCTTCTTGCATTTCAGAGGTGAGTGGGTGTTAATCTTTTAATTTCGTTCTGCTATATGTACTGAAAAAACTCATTTTAATACATAATAAAAGGACTTGTAAAATATTGTGTAATGAGGATTTCACCTCTGGGGGTCTCCCTTCATGAGTACAGAATGTATTTCTTGAACATTTACTTCATAATTTTCTGTCAGATATATCTAAATTGATTTCTAAGGATTTTCTTCTATTTCATTTTAAAGACATTTTTGTTGCTCTCTAGTATAAAATATTTGCTCTGAGTATTCTGTTCTGATCTAGAAGGGAAAATCATATGATGCAAGATATCAAGTCATGGTACAATTTGATAGTGTTTCTAGAAGAGTTGGTCGCTGATCGGATTGTATAGCAGGCTTTTGCAATTACCTTTGTAGAGGCAGGGCAGTAATTGAGGCCCTGCTGCTGTGGATGAAGGGCAAAATGCAGGTAGTAAGATAGGGGAAAACAAAAAATTCTATGTAGGGATTTAATAGTGTAGGCAGTGACAACACAAATGCCCCGTCTTCCAAGTGCCTTACACAAAAGAAGTGCCTTGGGGATGACAGTAGTTCATTCTCAAGGGTTTGACTCCGGAAACAAAATTGCAATAAACAAGTGAATGAGAACATCCCTACCCTAATGATAGTAGAAAGAAATCTTGATGGCAAAGGGGGGCAGAAGTGCTGCAGCATCTCAATATGTCTCTTTTTCTGTACCCTTGAAAACCCTACTTCAGTGAGGTAGGCCTAAATGCTTCAGAGAAACTGGTTTGTGCATTAATGTGAATAAGAAGTCCTGGATTTTTGTTGGTAATTTTGTATCTGAGGAGATAGGGTTGAAAAAGTGTTTTGCAGGTAACTTTACAGTGAGGCTGTTATATATTGGTCCTTCCTTTTTCTGTCTTGTCTTAACTATTCCTCTGTATGTAAATACATTTTAACATGTCTTTGTTCTTTAGTGGTTTTAATAGCTTTCTGTTACTTCAACATTCTTTCTCCATGTTGAAATTGAACTTTTTACCTCCTGGTTTGTATCTCCATTCCTCACCCATCCCTCTTACCACTGACTTAATCACCACTGTTTCAAAAACACTGTGTTAACTGTTTCTTGCCATTTCTACCTGAAGAAATGGAGGTCCTGAAGAAATACAGTTATGTTTTTGACCCTTGCCTGTGCCAGATTTCAAGGCTGCAAGTTTGTGATAGTGGCCATTTGAGGAGGTGCTTGTTGCTGTCTTTGCACAGTGCTGAGGGGGTGTTTGGTTCACTAACTTCTTTTTAATTGTGGAAGACTTTCAGTGCTTTTCCTGTCATTGGTGTGAATTGAACTTTCACAGAACTCACCAAATGGTAGATAGATAGTAACAGCTTTATTCTTTCACTAGCTGAAGCTTGGATGACTGAACAAGTACTGTCTAAGTTAAAATCTCTTGTTCTCGCTTAGTCTTGCTTAATTTGTAAACCTAAATTTAAAAAAGGACTGGTCCTGGACCCCGTTAGGCTTTATATTTTACTCTAATCTTCAATTTAGAGGTAAAGTTATAATATGAAACTGTCCCCTAATAACTTAAACTACTTTGGGAAGTAGGGAGTGTATTTGCTAAAGTAATGGAGCTGTCTCTTTGGACTTGGGAAGACAGAAATGCACAAGTTGGAAGCAGAAGGTTCCCTTTGTGGCTGTAACGGCTTAAGGGTCATTTCTGTTTCCCTCTCCTCGTGGAGATGACTTATTAGATGCTCTGAAGTTAATTATTACACATCCTATTTCTAAATGAGCCTCCATTAAAAGAATACAACAATCATAAAATATTTCCAGGCTTGCTGCCCATTATTTACTACACAAAATTTTGAGGTACAGCCATAAATTATTTTGTCTTTATGCTCAAGCATCCGCCCCCCCCCAAAACCCCTTATCTTGCAGCGGAGAAATTGTATTACAGAGGACAATGGTAGTGTGTATTACAAGAACATCATTGGTAGGGTAAGTGTCAAAATGAATAAGACGTGCATTTGACCAGAACATTAAAAACAAACAAAATTTCAAAAAAAGGGGGGAAGAAGTTATTTATTTGTTCTAGTAATTGAGGTTACTTGCAACAGCAGTAGTTAGAAATATTTTGAGTGAACAATCACAAAACACTGCTGATATTGGGCAGCTCAGCATTTTTGTGGGCAAATATTTATAAAAAGATCATTGGCATAAACTTCATCTGAACTTCAAACATAGGTTCATGATGAGTCAGATCTTATGCTGCCTTTTATTATAATGCTATGGTCAAGTAGCTGTCCAGCCTCGATTTCTTCTGTATTGCTACGTAGCCAGGTGCTCTGCTAACTTAATGTCAAAGCAACTCAAAGCCAAGAAGCAACTGGCTTGCTCGGAGGCTTAGTATGCTGGACTGAAAACGTGCTTAAACTTTGGGAGTCTGAAGAATAAACAAAACTCCGATCTACTTTGCTGCTACTCTTCCTCTTTGAGTTCTGTGCTTCAGATCCATCCTGGTCAGAGTCAGTGCAATTGTTTGGGTACTTCTCATGCAGATGACATAATTCTTCTCTTTGAAGGCATGTTGTTTTGAGGGATTTTTGTTTGCTTGTGTAATGGTTTGAGCCTGGTCGGCAGCCAAAGACCACGCAGCTGCTCACCCACCCTCCCCCCCAACCTAGGAATGGGGGAGGAATTGGAGGGGTAAAGGGAGACTTGCAGGTTGAGATAGTCGCAGTTTAATAATGGTAATAAAATAAAAACAATTACAGTAATAGAAAATATAAACGGGCAATGCACAATGCAGTTGTTCACCACCCGCTGACCAATCCCCAGCCTGTTCCCAGCCAGTGACCCCAAAATACAAAGATCCCACAATCGCAATCCTGGAAGTGAGAGAGAGCCCCCCTTCCCGACCACCCCTCCTCTATGTCGTGAGCATGATGTTCCATGATATGGAATATTTCATTGGCCAGTTTGGGTCTGGTGCTCTGGCCGTGCTCCCTCCCTGCTTCTCGTGCACTTGTGCACGGGCAGGACATGGGGAGTCGGAGAGTCCTTGAAATCTCAGCAGCTGCCAAAGACGTCAGTGTGCTATCAGCATTCTTCTCATACCAAACTCAATGCTGAATCCAAAACACAGCACTATTTTACTTACCAAAAAGAAACATTAACTCTGTTCCAGCCCAAACCAGGACAGCTTGTTTGGTTGATTTTTTTCCTTTTGCTGTAAGAAAACTCCGTTTAATGAATTTTTCTTATAACTGTTAGATAATTACATCTAATGTTTGTTTAGGAGTATATTTTATTTGAGGAATCATTTTGTATTGCTCATTTTTAAGATTTATACCGAGATTACCTAATTGATTTATATTAAAACTTACACTTTAATGGACCGAAGTGCTTCCTTTAAATCAAGGACAGTTGAGAAATATGAGAAGCCACTGGAATGAACATCACTTATATCAAAATATGAACATATGTGTAGTGAAGAGATCTGAACATAGATACATGAGTTTGTGTGTATGTCTAACCTGTATCAACAGGTGAAAAAGTCACTGTTTTTTTTTGTTTGTTTGTTTCTTTGCTTTTAAGGGCTCACAGTTTGTCTCCAACGGATCATCTGGCAGCATTTTACTTGGCTCTGCAGCTTGCCATATCCAGACAGGTTAGTTGTGTTTTAAAAGTGCAGCCTCACACTGTCATACAAAGATTAGCATTGGTATCTGTTGATGAATACAGATGAAGATTTATTCAATGAAAACCTGGTTTTCCTAATTCATATATGCATATATATGGAAAAATACTCCAAAATATTATCTTTGAACAATTTCAGTGTTGTACACTTCTCCAGAGTTTTGCCACAGTATCTCCAGCTCTAAGATCAGAGATAAGAAATAGGTCATTCCATTTATTTTTTTCAACATTTATGTTGCTGGATGGAGAGGAAAAAAAGAAGTCAATTTTTAACTATTATGTGTAATCTTTGCTCATGCTGGTTATCTGGAGAGTGGGTCTCGAATCTCGTCTTTAATGATCTTGACAGTGCTTAAATCTTGGGTATCTGCTGAGATCCATGCCTGTTCTGTATACTGTAGGAGGTTTGGTCATTCTGAATAAAATTACAAAAGTGAACAAAATTTCCAGAAAACTGGAAAATATTTTAAAGCTATAAAAGAGATCAGAGCTCAGTCCAACTTGTATGACTGTTATGTTCAAGGGATTTAGGATTCCACCATATATCACATGAATTTGGATAATTTGGAGCTGCTTTGTGTATGTCATGGTAAGCTTTTTCCTGTGTCATGTTTATTTTAGGAAGTAGTTTTGAGCACAGTAGTTTACATACTCTAGATGTCTACTTTTCATTGCTAAGAAGTAGCAGAGACATTGGACTATGTCACATTAGAGTGGAATGGATTGTCACTTTAATAGCACAGAATATTTTCAGCAGCAGGCTCTGTACTTCTGAATTCCAAACTTCTCATGTTTCTTAATTAAATTTCCTGGTTTTAACACTTGGTGAACTTACTTTGAGCAAAAGCACATGCAGCTGAGATCAGGAAATTCCACATGAAGAAAAGATACTGTTGCGCCCTAGCTGTATGTTTTAGTTATTGTATTCCAGTTAAAATATTTTTAAAATCATATAGAAATACAACCCATACTTGAAATAGTAAGTGAATATTTTAAAAGGTTGAAGGGAACTGTTTTATTAAAATATGTATCTTATTTTCCAGGGTTAATGTATTACTTAGGTTTTACTGTTCACTGTAGAGCATCAAGTCCATTTTAAACTTCTGAGTAGTGTCTTACAGGAGTCTAGAATTCTACATGGTATCCAGGTGAATATTTTGAAAATTTTATGGATGTGCAATTGAGTAATAGGCAACACTTCTAATAGTGGTGCTTTCTTTTTCTGCTTTTTTTTTATTTTTTTTTAATCAGATACCAGAAGCTTTGGGTTATGTTCGTCAGGCTCTGCAACTACAAGGAGATGATGCCAACTCTCTTCATCTCCTTGCACTCTTGCTATCAGCCCAGAAACACTATCATGATGCTTTGAATATCATTGATATGGCCTTGAGTGAATATCCAGAAAATTTTATGTGAGTGAATGTCATGTTTGCTTTCTACGCTTTCTCTCATATTTATTTTTCTCAGATTCTCATCTCATTCATTTCAAGAGGGGATGGATTTGAAGATTGGTCTGGGGTTTTTTCCAACAGTCTTCCCCTCCTGCCTATTTAATGCAAGTCTGCTTTTTTTTATTAAAGGCTTGTTAAATAGTGATTAAGGATTGGTTTTGGAAGGGAGGCTAGAACTGGATAGTTGATCTTATTCTGTTTTTTTTCTACATACTTTTTGTTTAGATAATTTCTCCCTGTTGCATGCTTTCGAGTATTTTTCTATCTTCTGTTTTCATGCAATATTCTAAGAAGGATAAACAGGACTTTACTATTAGCTAGGATAGATTTATCCCATGCAACAGATAACTTTCTGCATATTGGATGGAATCTGTTCTGTAAAATACATCATAACAGAGAATCTCCTCTTTTGCCTGTATAATAACCAGTCACCTGAAGTTGTGCTGATGGATAACTAAACAAGAGAACAGGGAAGAAGCACATTTGGTTGATGTTCTCTTGTTTAAGAAAGAAATAATTCTTTGTGTTTATTCTTCATGTTAAATATATCTTAAAATACATTTGGATTTTGTACTTTTGTAAGGGTATTTTTTTTTAATTTATTTTCTTACGAAAATCTAATGAAACTCTTTACAGTGAAATATCTCAGGAACAGCTTCCATTAACTTCTAGCGTTCTGTTCCGATACTTCACCAACAGTCACTAAGGTTGCAATCCATCGTATCACAAATATCCTAAATGCTTATGTAGACAATTCTTTGAAATATCTCAATTTTAACTTTTAAGTGACTGGCCTTTATCATAAATTGTTACTATATCAACATGCCAGAAAAAATATGATTTCTTTAAGAATTATTAGGTTGAAAATAGATATTACAGTATTTTTCCTTCCTGTTCCTTGATATTTCATGCCTCCTTTTGGCTGTCTTTATAAGGTACTGTTGCCTTTTTCCTCATAAATCTGACCAGGACCTCTGCTGATACCACCTCTCCTCAGAACTACTGTGGCTCGGAGCCAGTTCCGTGCAACTGCTTTTGTGGCGTTTTGCTGTTTCTCACTTCCTAGTTTACACACACACATAACTTCTCTCTGTTCTTATCAGGGGCTTCCACACATGCTTCACGATTTCAGAACTATCTAACAGTTCCTCTCCCAAAGCTGTCTGTGCTTTCCTTAGGTCTGAGGGACCTGTCAGTAAGTCATGGTTTGAGAGGCAATTGCAATATCAGCTACCTAATTTTATACCCTATTATTGTTAAAAACTAGTATGTTCAAAGCACCATGATGTCATCATCTGTCCTTGTTTCATCTTCTGCCGCTTAGTGGCAATGTAAATGACAAAGCTGCTGCTATACCTCAGAATAATAATAGTCTAGACATATTTCTGAAACTGCAGTTCTCCATGTTGTAATAAGAGAACAAAGGATCATTCAGTAAAATGTTTAAAATGATTCTTGTGTGCGTTCAGAAGGTATTTATGGGGTTTTCAAATATGGTTCGTGGCTTTTCCGTACTTGTTTATACATCTTGTGGTTAAACATGTTGCCCAAGTTGTTTTAAAAAAATACTGATCTTTGTATTAATGTATGTATGTATATTAATCCTTTGGGTCATAACAGTGCTTCTAAATTGTTAGTCCTGTTGTACAACACAAACACCATGGTGATAGAGTGTGTTATGTTACAACCTACTGGTACAGATCAGGGAATTTGAGAGGAATATCTTGGTAGTAGGAATCACCGTCAGATGTGACAAGAATTGCTGAAGAATCCAAGGAGTCTTGTTTTTAGTGCTGTCAAGTTACTTTTGGTTCCCAGAGAAGTCATGGATATGATTGAGATTCCTTGTGTTCTTTCTGCAATTGATACTGACAGCCAGACACACACATTTGGTTAATAATATAAATTTGAATTGATTCCTTCAGGTAACTGAGTTATTTTTGCAAGGATTTATCAGCAAACCCTCGAGTTTACAATGTGTTCCTGTGCACTGTATTTGGTGCTCTCAAAAGGGTTGACAATGTGTATCTGCATATATATAAAACATAAAACACAAGTGCTTAGTGTATCATTGATTCCATTTCCTTATTCTGCAACTTTGGTAAACAATACAATCTCATGGTACTGCCTAGTAGGCTGGGAAGAGAGCCTCTTGTGTTCCTTTAAGGCTTGCTCGTTTTTAGATAGACTGAAACATTTGATTATTTGCCTATGGGGCTTCACTGGCTTTTGTAAACACTTCAAAATATCATCATGTTTTATGCTTTATCTTTCAGTTTTGTCTGCAATCCCAGTAAGCCAAACAGTACAAGAGTTTTCTTGGTATTCTGTGTATTTCTGTTAGAATCCATTAGCTCAGCCTTATGCAAAATGTTATTTCGGTGGCTTTGAAGCACAAGAAGTCTCTGTACTTGGAAAATATTAAAATAAAACGTAGGGCTTGTGATTTACTTTATTTCTTCTTTCTTTTATTGTTATTCCTATCTGCATACTTTTGTATGCTGTAATGGCATTGCTGCATTGAGTGTTGTCTTGCCCTGTTCACAGCTCTATGTTCTTTTTGTTCAGTTTTTCTTTGAAAAGAATCTAAATTTTCAGAAGTTTATAATATTACTTTGTAAAATGCCAGAGGTTGCCAGGAAGTCATGGAGTACACTGTGAATCATGCTGAGAAGTGGATACTTTCCAGCACTCTTCTGTTGTAATCAATTAGTAAATACATTGTCTGTCAGTTTTTAACAGCTGAAAAACTGATGCATTCCTAGAATTCATGCTCAGTATTTGAGGCATACAGCAAGCATACCTTCTTATCTTAAATTACTGTTAACCTTCCTGCACTATAAAGCTAGAAAGTTGCTGAAGAAACATGGCCAGTAAGATAATGATTTTGCCCCATGCACCTCTAGGTCAGTAAGTACAAAGAAATTCCTCAGAGCCAAAGAATTCCATCCCATCCTTATCTAAAGGAGTGGAAGGAATGACAAGCATCACCTTGTGCTGTTAGCAGTAAAGTATAGTTTTTCCTTTGAATAAAGAGTTGGTTGTTCTTCCTTTGTTCGTTATGTTGGCACCCTAAATATGCAGTCTGCTCTGAGACCTTTGGTGAAAATGTAAGAAACCTCTACAAGTGAAATAGGTACGTAGTAATGTTTTCCAGAAATAATAAAAATGCAAGGTATTTGCAGAATATCTATAGCACTCTCAGTTCAAATGTTTTATAAGCTGAAAATGCTAGGTTGTAACCACTCTACTTATAAAAAAGTTAGCTGTGTTTTTCAGAGCAATACAATCAACCTACTTTAGAATGCTAGCTAACCTCTGAAACCTCCTGAAATCTGAGAGTGCTTTGATCCAGGGACAAAAAGATCACGAAACAGATTCAGATTACTGAAAAGATTATGAATACCCTGCTTTGGTGAGATGGGTGGGAATAGGGTGCCAGCACCAAAAAATCTGAATAGTTAATCTCAGTCAGGTCCTACTGCATTTGAATTCATATAAAGTTACTCTGTTTTTTCCCCCACCTTTCATTAGACAGCTTGTCCCTGTAGTAGAAATGTGAAGTTCTGTTCTTCTCCAGCTTGACAGGATTTGAGCCCATAGATATGATGGAGCTTAGAGTCCTAACCATCAAACTATGTGGGAGACTGGGTGAGATGATCCATTTCTCCTGAAACCGAAGCAGGGACATGCTGCCCTGAATGCAAAGAGAGTAAGCAGGAAGGAGCCACAGTATATCCTAAATTACTAGAGTATTTAACTGTGAGGGATGCTTGAGGTCTTCGCTGCTTTGGTTTTCACTGAATTTTATTTATTTTAATCCAAAGATTGCCTACTCTGAATGTATAATCAGTCCCAGAGGTGTGCATTACAGTCTGAAGGTGTGTTCAGGGTAATGGTGGTCATGTTGCATTGGTTCATATTGGGCTTGTACATCTTGTGCAATACATATAGTACAGTTATATGTAAGATTACCTGAGAAGCCTGATTTACAAACTCCTTTCAGTGACACTTTGCTGTCTTGTTATCTCTTTGTTGTGAGTAATCCATATCTTTGTGGTCTTTTGAATTATATGAAATCTTGAAACAAAACTAGTATCTGTTTCTATTTCATGGTTGGTCAAAAGTAGATGCTCAGTCAAAGGAAACAAGAGTTAGGTTTCTTAATGAAATACTTCTGATACTGTTTCCTTAATCATAGCTGTTTGGGCTTCCCTCATTATTTCAAGTGTTGGAGCACTTAAAGACAAGTATAGTGCCTGAAATTAGTGTAATTACGCAAAATAAATAATAAATAATAATTGTTAATTTTATGCTGAAAATTGAACTGCAATGGATAGCAGCTGACAAGCTTTCAAAGTAGCAGAAGTAGGAAACAGCAGATGGGTTATTTGAGGAGTGCAAGCATGTTATTTTAATGTTAAGTACACTCAAAAAGGAAAGACATATGGTAACAGGTTTGAAGACAACTGAAGACTAAGTTCACAGTTTAAACATTTACATTTGTTGAAGTGTGGAAATTTTTTTTTTCTTCCAAGAATATTTCACAGAAGCATCAGGCCAATATGTCACTCCTCTGAAAACTATTAAATCCTTTCCTTCCTGACCCTCAAGGGTTCATCTGAGCTACAGTAGATTTCCAAGAATTGCAGAGACTTTTAACATCCTTCTCAATTCATTGATTAACAAACTTGTTTCCTTCTGGGAGTTGTCTGGGTGAGCATAACAGAAGAGCTGGTAGGTATATGCAGTGTGTGATGATACATACACTGATGTTTTGTGGGACAGGGCTGTATTTATCAATTAAAGGGAATAGACTATGCTATTCTGTTTTCCCAAGATCGGTTGCAGTTTCACTACAGTGTGTGGTGCTGGTTGAACTTGCACTTTTTTTTTTTTTTTTCCCTCGATAAATAATGCACTGAGAATTATTTGAGGAAAGGACAGTAATATATGATTGT